CGAGGTTTCTTAGGTGTGACATGTCATTTTCTTCAAAATAGTAAAATGCATATGCTCTATCTAGCTATTCGTACGCTCAATGAAATATTTGCCCTGTTTGGCTCACACAATAAATCACATCGTTGAAGAGGCTTTAAAATGACCAAATGTGAAAACAGCTAAATCTAAAGTTCGTGAAATTGTGCGTTGAATAAAAAAGATACGTATTAATGGTTCTGAATAGTCAGTTTTAAAACTTATTGCCGATATCAAAACAATATGGAACTGAATAATATCTTTGAAAAGTGACCCATTGGGAGACATTACATTGGGGGGCAAACGGTATTTCCTAACTTTTATAAGTGAATATCTATTTCCTAAAGCTGGTGCTGCTATGACGCACAATAGAAAAAGCTTGTCCCCTAAATATTTGCAGCAACTGCTTTTTTTGGGAAACCTTCAGAAAGAATATTTTTTGTTTACCTGATGGCAATAAATGCATTAAAATATATTCCATACATTTTATTACAATCTCTTATTTAAACGGCCTTTTTACAGTTAAAATTCACGGTAACAGTTAATTTCGGTCTACTCATCGAAAATGTATACTTAAAATGCGTTTATGACGATTAAACGTATAGTCACTCAATATCGAGTCAATAAAATTGTGAGCAGGTGAGATACTTTCAGAATACTGATATGAGCAGTATTGCAAGGCGATTTGTTTACTACTCATTTACTACTCACTTTCAGAATACTCATATGAGTAGTATCGCAAGATGATTCGGTTACTACTCATTTGAGTATGTACCGATACTTTCTCAGTATCGTATCGTCCCTACCTCTGGTTACAACTGATTAGGCTCTATTGAATTGTCAAAGGAATTCCTGGAACTGGCCTCCATCTAGTCTACCACAGTTCTCGAGCGGCGGGATACCTTTCGACTATTCAACTACAACTCACGCCCGAAATTGTCCCGACCACTCTGAAACTCATCCACCTCAGAATCACCATCGAGGGCATCCTGTTCGAAAAGGTGTTCGAAGCCGATCCCGTGATTAAATTCACATACGCCTGGAACAGATTGAACGTCTACAGGCAGCGAGTCTACGGCGTGACCACCGCAATCGTGAAAGTTGGCTACCAATACAGCAATTGTAAAGATGTGATTTGGGATGTGCAAACCACTAAACTGAGTGGGCACGATATGAGCATTTCGGACGTGGGTGGTTGGAATCTGGACATTCATCATAGATACAACTTCCATGAAGGTAGCTGATCCGCAACTAAACTTCAGTGTAGGGTTGTAACAGTTTATCGGATGAATTTAGGAATTCTGCAAAAGGGCGACGGTTCGAACATCTACTTGAAGCACAAGCCGCGAGTTATTTTGACCACTATGGGCGATGGGCACCAAAGGCCCTTGGATTGCATGGATTGCGAAGGACAAGCCACCAAGCAACGCCTCTTAGCTCCAGTTGCTTTGGCTAGCGATCGAGATGGGTCGATTTACGTCGGCGACTTTAATCTCATCCGAAAAATCCAAACGGATGGCACCGTGCGAACCTTGGTCAGACTAAAGTGAGTCTACGACGCTAAATAATCGATGTTTTTTCTAATTGAGCGGGTTATTTCAGTGCCACCACAGTGTCGTACCGCTACCACTTGGCTCTGAGCTCAATGGATGGGAACCTGTACGTCTCAGATCCCGAGTCGCATCGAATAATCAAAGTACGCAGCACTGACGACTTCAGTGATCCCGATCACAATTGGGAAACAGTTGTGGGTTCTGGAGAACGCTGTCTTCCAGGCGACGAGGCGCATTGTGGAGATGGAGCGTTAGCTCGCGACGCTAAACTGGCCTATCCGAAAGGAATCGCAGTCTCCAACGACAACGTGCTCTATATAGCGGATGGGACCAACATTCGCATGGTAGATCGCGATGGAATTGTGACAACAGTGATTGGCAATCACATGCACAAATCGCACTGGAAACCCCTGCCTTGTGAAGGCACCCTCAACATCGAAGAAGTCCATCTGCGATGGCCTACAGAGCTGGCGATTAATCCTCTGGACAACACCTTGCATATCATCGATGATCACATGATTCTTCAGCTGACTACTGATGGAAGAGTCAAGGTTATTGCAGGTGAGATCGAACGCCTTTTGTCCAGTGTGCAAATGTAATATCTTTTTATTTTTCGCTGTTTAGGGCGGCCATTGCATTGTGCCTCCTCACTGTACAGCTACGACATGGATCTGGCAACTCACGCCACTCTAGTGATGCCGCAAAGCATCGCGTTTAGCTCTTCTGGAGACCTCTACGTGGCTGAAAGTGATTCGCAGCGCATTAATCGCGTTAGAGTGATCGGAACCGATGGAAAAATCGCCCAGTATGCGGGAGCTGAGTCAAAGTGCAACTGCTTGGAGCGAGGATGTGATTGCTTCGAAGCTGACCACTACCTGGCCTCCAACTCCAAGTTCAACTCCATTTCGGCAGTAAGCGTGAGTCCGGATGGCCACGTTCATATCGGTGACCAATCCAACTACCGAATTCGGTCGGTTATGGCCAGTATTCCCGACTCCAGCATATCGAGGGAGTATGAAATCTACTCACCAGAAACGCAGGAGATTTACATCTTTAACCGATTCGGGCAGCATATTGCTACCAAGAACATTCTTACGGGCGAGACCAGCTATTTGTTCACTTACAACGTCAACACTAGCAATGGTAAGCTGAGCACAGTGACTGACGCCGCAGGAAACAAGGTTAGTTCCTAGTTAAACATTCGAGTTCTTGGTGATTATTGAGCTTAAACCTTGCAGGTGTTCCTCTTGCGAGACTATTCAAGTCAAGTGAATTCGATCGAAAACACCAAAGGTCAGAAGTGCAGACTGAAGATGTCCAGGATGAGGATGCTGCACGAGCTCAGCACTCCTGATAACTACAATGTCACCTTTGACTATCATGGACCCACCGGGCTGCTGAAGACCAAAATAGACAGTAGTGGAAGGAGCTATGTTTACAACTATGATGAATTTGGACGGCTGACCACAGCTGTGACCCCCACAGGAAAAGTCATCAGCTTATCGTTCGACCTGAGCGTCATAGGAGCTACTGTAAAGGTCAGCGAAAACGATGAGAAGCATCTTTCCATGCTAATCAAGGGTTCATCCGTATCGACCAAAGTGAGTGTGTCGATAATTCTTTATTGCGGATTTGCTCAAACCTAAGAAATATTGCAGGTGGAAGACTTACGAAATAAAATCATGATGTATCCAGATGGGGGAGTTGCCAGTTTCCGGGCGTGGACTCATTCAATTACAACCGACACTGTTCCCTATAATATACTAGCCGACAAAGAGCCCTTGTTGGCCGAAAGCTACCCAATCCCTAGTAAACAACACACGGAAATAGGCGGCGACCTGGCAAATAGATTCGAATGGAGGTAAGTCTCCTAGTGCTCACTTACCCTCAATTTTTCTAACTGTTTCTTGTTTTGAACAGATACTACATTCGACCGAATTCAAACACCAAAGGCAACAAGAACATCCCGCGCGCCATCGCAAAAGTGGGCAAAAAGCTGCGGGTTAATGGGGAAAATATCCTCACAATGGAATACGACAGAGAAACAGCATCGATAAGTGTGTTTATGGACGATAAAGCCGAACTGTTGAATGTGAGCTATGATAGATCTTCGAGACCAATCAGATTCGGTCCAAAGAACGGCTTGTTTGCTGAAGTCGAGCTGGAATATGATCGGTTTAGCCGGCTCAGCAACTGGAAGTGGGGTGACCTGAGTGAGAGTTATGGTTTTGATCGAGCTGGGCGACTGTCGGAAATTAAATATGCTGATGGGTCGTCTTTGCAGTATGCTTTTAAGGACATGTTCAGTAGCCTGGTAAGTAAACAGGGAAATGTTTGGTTGTAGTAATGTACGTGGTGGTATGATCAGAATATAATGGAAGGCAAATTTTTAAAGATTTAGTTAGCAAAGAACAATTGTTTGCAGCCTCTGAAAGTGACGACTCCAAGAGGCTCAGACTATCTTCTCCAGTACGATGACTCCGGTGCCTTGCAGTCATTAACAACACCACGCGGTCACATCCATACATTCTCCCTCCAAACCTCTTTGGGATTCTTCAAGTATCAGTACTTCTCTCCAATGAACCGACATCCATATGAAATCATGTACAATGATGATGGCCAAATTCTATCCAAGATTTTCCCGCATCAATCATCGCGAGTTACCTACATCTACGACTCGTCGGGTCGTTTAGAAACATCGATAGCAGGCATGACTGCTACGCATTACGCCTACAATGAAGTGGGTCTGGTGAGAGACGTGGAAGTCATTGAACCGAATATGGAGCTGAGACAAGAGTTCAGATATCAATCGGGAGTCGTGAAAGATGAACGGTTGAAGTTTAATGTGAAGAGCGGTTTGGATAATACCCGTTATAAGTATCAGTACGACGGGAATAATCGGTAAGTTAATGGAGAAAATGTTGATTATGTTACAGCTATGACCGAAACATTGTTTTGCAGTATTTCCAGTATCGATGTTGACATCAACGGCAAAGAACTTCCGCAACTGAAAGTGAAATACAACCAAAACATTGGCGTCCTGGAGACGATAAGCGACCTGAGAATATACCGAAACACCTTCAACAGATCGGTGATGCAAGACACTGGCAAACAGTTCTTCAGCATCACCGACTACGACGATCACGGCCGGCTGAAGTCGGTGCTGATCAACATCAAGTCATTCGACGTCTTCCGTTTAGAACTCGAGTACGACTTCAGGAACAGAATCAAGCTGCAAAAGCTTCTAGTTGGGCGGACTCAGTTCATGGACCGGATTAGTTACAATTCAGACGGGCATGTGCTGGAGGTGATTGGCAGCAGCAATTGGAAGTACGTCTACGACGAAAATGGAAATATCCAGGCCACCATCAAGGAGAAGGAGAAAACCACTCTGGGTTACGACAGTGGAGATCGCGTGGTTCAGTATGGAGATGTGGAGTTTAACAGTTATGACAACAGCGGTTTTGTGGTGCGAAGAGGCGAGCAGAAGTACCGGTTTAATCCTAAAGGTAAGTCGATTACTGATGGAAGCGTTTTTCTCGTATCTGTTGAAGAATCGAAACAAAAAAACATCCATTTCTATTAATTTAGTCGCCCAAAAGAGTCTCTTTAAATCGCAGTAAATTTGTGAGTCAGTAATCAAGGCCTGATTCATGTGTAATTTGTTTACCAAATCTCAGTGCAATTTAGGAAAAACTTACTTTACTTCCTTGTATACAGGGTGATTCAAAATTGGCGTCATTCCTTTTAAGGGGTGATGGAGGCTCACTTAGGGAGTACGAGAAAAATATTGAAATTTTTTTTTTCCAAAATTTCTAGAAGATATTAACAGTTGAAGATCGAATTTCAACTTTGTTATTAAGCATTATTTTGAAATGTTTCCATATTTAATTGGTAGCATATTGGAATACTTAAGCATTCAAAAAGAAAAATTACGGTCTTTGCTTCAAATTACGAAAATTTTTTTATGTCAAAAAAGTTCTCTTCTACAATTTTTTGATCAAAAGGCACAGCGGCAATGATGTTTTTTGTCATTAACAGATAGTTACAGGTAGATCTTGTCAATCTTAACAATAATTTGTCAAACTGTGACTTACTTTGAATTTCCTTTCACGAATTTGCGGATTTGCAATTAGTTCAGGGGAAATGCTACAGTAACATGGCAGAAGCTGAAAGAACTCAGGCCAACAAAGGGCGAGAAGAGTGGTTCCATGAAGACACTGGACGACAATTGAGGTTCAGGTTTCAAACACAGAGGAAGTATTGGACATAATTGCAGAAGAGCCTTCCAGGGGCACTCAGAGCACAATAACTTACACTTTCCCAGGCACCAAATAAATACACACAGCAGAAGGAGATACAAATGGAGCAGGAGTTAATTAACTGAATACGAGAAGCTGCTTGATAAGAGTGGATAAGAGATTACACAGGCACTAGCTTGTTTGGAGTTAACCATTCAATGGTCAAAAACCCTAAAGATGTTGTAGGGTTTATTTATAAACTCCCATATTCGAGGTTATGAGAGCAGGTTGACATTTCGTCAACATGTCGTTATTGATAAGTTCTATATTGTTGAGGCGGATTCATTTTTTACAAACTTCTTTTTGGGTATTTCGTCTCAAAAATTTTTGTCTTTAAAAAAGACAGATTTTCCTCACATCTTTTATTACAGATTGATAAATAGTGCTCCAATTTCGCAATAAGAACAAATTATTTATCAAAAAATAATCAAGAACTATCACCTAGAGGGTATCCTGCGACACACTTAGGCTCAAGCTGTAAGAGAAAATTCCAATTAGTAGA